TATGGTACCACAAGACATACCTTACTAGAGCTCCTGAAGGAAGTGCTAAGTATAAAAAGGAAAGACTATTATCAGCCACTACAAAAACACACTTAAGTACACAGAACAGTGACACTATAAAGCAACTACATACATAAGTTTGCAAAATAACCAGCTAACATCATGATGACAGGATCAAATCCACATATTTCATTAGGCTGTAATCAAGAAGATCTTTGAAACTAATGAGAATGAAGATACAACATACCAGAATCTCTGGAACACAGCTAAAACCATATTAAGGGGAAATTTATGGCACAAAATGCTCACATCAAAAAGTTACAAAGGTCTCAATTTAGCAACATGACATCACAACTAAAAGAACTAGAGAATCAAGAGAAAACCAACCCCAAAGCAAGCAGAAAATAAGAAATACCTAAAATTAGAGCTGAACTGAAGGACACTGAGACATGAAAAATCATTCAAAAGATCAACAAATCCAAGAGGTGGGTTTTTTAAATTAATGAAATAAATAGACTGCTAACTAGACTAATAAAGAGGAAAAGAGAGAAAATCTAGGTAAACACATTTAGAAATGACAAAGGAGATATTACCACTGACCCCACAGAAATACAAATAACCATAAGAGAATATTATGAACACCTCTATGCACATAAGCTAGAAAATCTAGAAGAAAAAAATACATTGTTGGACACATACACTCTCCCAAGCCTGAGCCAGGAAGAATTTGAATCCCTGAAAGGACCAGTAATGAGCTCCAAAATTGAAACAGTAATAAATAGCCTACCAATCAAAATAAGCCCAGGACAAGCCAAATTCACAGCTGAATGTGACCGGATATACAAACAAGAACTAGTATCTGCTCTTGTTTTCTGCTAAATAAATATTCCTGCTAAAACTATTTCACAATATTGAGGAGGATGAACTCCTCCCTAGCTCATTCTATGAGGCCAGCATTATCCTGATACCAAAACCTGACAGGGACACACACACACACACACAAACAGCAGGTCAGTATCCTCAATAAACATCAATGCAAAAATTCTCAACAGAATACTGGCAAGCCGAATCCAGCAGCACATCAAAAAGCTTACCCACCACTATCAAGTTGGCTTTATCCCTGGGATGTAAGGTTGGTTCAACAATAAACATATCAATAAATGCAATTCATCACATAAACAGAACTAAAGGCAAAAATCATATGATTATCTCAATACATGCAGAAAAAGCTATCCATAAAATTCGAAATTCTTTCATATTAAAAACTCTCTATAAACTAGGTACAAAAGAAACTTACCTCAAAATAATAAAAGCCATCTACGTAAAACACACAGCCAATATCATACTGAATGGCGAAAAGCTGGAAGCATTGCCCTTGAATACCAACACAAGACAATTCTGCCCTCTTTCACCACTCCTATTCAACCTAGTATGGGAAGTCCTGGACACAGCAATCAGGGAAGATAAAGAGAGAAAGGCATCAAAATAGGAAGACAGAAAGTCAAACTATTCGTATTTGCACATGACATGATTCTATGTCTAAAAAAAGCCCTATAGTCTCGAAACAAAAGCTCTTTCAGCTGATAAACAACTTCGGCAATGTTTCAGAATTCAAAATCAATGCACAAAAATTACTAGCACTCCTATACAGCAACAAAAGACAAGGCCAAGAGCCAATTAACAAACAATCCCATTCACAATAGTGGCAAAAATAATAAAAATACCCAGGAATACAGCTAACCAGGGAAGTAAAAGATCTCTAAACGGAGAGCTACAAAACATCGCTGAACAACATCAGAGATGACACAAATGTAGGGAGCACATTCCGTGCTCATAAATAGGAAGAATCAATATCATTAAGATGACCATATTGCCCAATTTACAGATTCAGTGTGATTCCTATCAAACCACCAATGACATTCTTCACAGAAGTAGGAAAAAAAACTCTTTTAAAATTCATATGGAACCAAAAATGAGCCCAAATAGTCAAGGCAATCCTAAGCAAAAAGAAAAAACTAGAGGCATCACACTACCTGACTTCAAACTATACTACAAGTCTACAGCAACCAAAACAACATGGTACTTTTACAAAAACGGACACACACTAATGCAGCTGAATAAGGAAGCCAGAAATAAAGTATCACACCTGTAACTATCTGATCATCTAAAAAAGTGACAAAAACAAACAATGGGGAAAGGGCTCCCTTTTCAATAAATGGTGCTGGGAGGACTGGCTAGCCATACGCAGAAGATTGAAACTGGATGCCTTCTTTACACCATATACAAAAATCAACTCAAGATGGATTAAAGACTTAAATGTAGAACCCACAACCATAAAAACTTTGAAAGACAACCTAAGCAATACCAGTCTGGACATAAAGACAGACAAAGATTTCATGAATAAGATGCCAAAAGCAATTGCAACAAAAACAAAAATTGGCAAGTAGGATCTAATTAAACTAAAGAGCTTCTGCAAAGCAAAGGAAACCATCAAAATATCCTACAGAATGGGAGAAAATTTTTGCAAACTATGCATATTGTAAAGGTGTAATATCTAGTATCTACAAGGAATTTAAAGAAATTCACAAGAAAAGAAAAACAGCCCTATTAAAAAGTGGGAAAAGGACAGGAACAGACACTTTAAAAAGAAGATATATGTGTGATCCACATGCATATAAAAAAAAAATCTCAGTATCACTGACCATTAGAGAAATGCAGATCAAAACCACAATGGGAGACTGTCTCACCCCAGTCAGATGGCTATTGTTAAAAAGTCAAAAATAAAAGGTGCTAGAAAGGTTGTATAAAAAAAGGAATGTTTATGCACTGATGGTAGGAGTGTAAATTAGATCAACTATTGAAGAGAACAGTATGGCAATTACTCAAAGAACTAAAAACAGAACTACTATTCCAACCAGCAATCCCATTACTTGGCACATACCCAAAGGAATACAAACCATTCTATATCATAAAGACACATGCATGTGTTATGTTCATTGCAGCACCATTCATAATAGTGAAGACATGGAATTAAACTAAGTGCCCATCAATGATAGACTAGATAAAGAAGATACGGTACATATACACCATGGAATACAGGTACATAGATGGAGCTGGACACCATTATCCTTAGCAAACTAACGCAGGAACAAAAATTCAAATACCGCTTGTTCTCACTTATAAGTGTGAGTTACATGATGAGAAAACAAGGACACCTCAAAGCGGCAGACACTGGCACCCACCACCGGGTATGGAGAAGGAGAGGATCAAGAAAAATAACCATATTGCCTATATGTGATATGAGCTTGCCTATATAACAAACCTACACATGTGCCCCTGAACTTAAAACAAAAGTTAAAAAAAACTATGCTGGAGAGGGTGCAAAGAAAAAAGAAGCCTTGTATACTCTTGGTGGGAATGCAAATTAGTACAGTTGCTATGGAAAACAGTAAGAAGATTTCTCAAAAAACTAAAAACAGAACTACCATTCAATCCAGCAATCCAGCTGCTGTGTAGCCATCCAAAGGAAAAGAAATCAGTACGTGAAAAAGGATGCCTGAACTCCCATGGTTAATGCAGTACTATTTGCAGTAGAAAAGATGTATAACCTAAGTGTCCATTAATGAATGAATGAACAAATAAAATATGTATATACACACAATGAAATACTATTCCATTATAATAAAAAGAATGAAATCCTGTCATTGGCAGCAACATGGATGGAACTGGAGGTCATTATGTTAAGTAAAATAAATCAAGCAGAGAAAGGCAAATATTGCATGTTCTCACTCATATGCAGGAGCTACAAACGTTGATCTATAAAGATGAATAGTAGAATGATAGATACCAGAGGCAAGGAAAGGTGTTCAGGGGGATGGAGAATGAAGAAATACTGGTTAATGAGTAAAACCATATAGATACATAAAATGAGTAAGTTTTAATATTTGATAGCAGAGGAAAGTGACTACAGTATACAACAATGTATTGTATGCTTCAAAATAGCTAGAATTAAAATGTTCCCAACAAAGAGCAATGATAAATGCTCCAGGTGATGAATGCCCGACATTTCCTGATATCCTGACTTGATCATTACACATTCTATTCATGCAAAAAAATCACATGTATGCAGTAAATGTATACAAGTATTGTGGATCAATACAAGTAACATTAGAGAGTCTTCTTATTTCCTATGTTAGTTACACCCAAGCCACTCTCTTGCCGGAACAAATACGGTAGTGCTTGTAGTGGGGAGTGATGATGATGATGATGATGATGATGATGATGATGATGATGATAGTGAAAACAGTGATGATATGTTGCTGCAAATAAAACTCTACTAAATGACAGCTAATTATGTTTTAGGCATTGTGCCAACCAAATATCAGATAGTAATCAAATTTTATGCCTTAGACTAGTTTGTGATGTAAATGTTAGTTTGCTTACTTTGCAGTAAAGAGACTGACATTCAGAGAAGTTGAATAATATCATCCTCAAATCAATCATATGCTAATTAAGGAAAATAAAAGGGGTTTAAAGTGATACAGGAATAATCTTTGGTATGACCCAAATTGTGAGATCCTGCTGTGAATCAAAGAAAGATTGAGATAAATCCAAATGGTTACATGATATTGCTAATATAGCAGATTTGAAAAGACACAAAGATCCATTCACAAATATTATGCATACATACTTTATTCAGGGAGTGAAAGGAAAGTGACAACTGCACAGGTGGTAGAAGCTCATGCCCAGGCTCATGACAGACACAGGAAACATCAACAGAATTCTGTGATGGTTCCCAGGGACAGAGCTGCTGGTCTTTCTTTCAGAGCTCTGGGAACGGGCACTGCTGAGGACTTCCTTTCTAAGTCTCCACCTAGATAGTGGCAGTATGGCAGCATCATAAAGGGAAGCTTTTGCTGTCAGGGCACATCACGGGCAGATCACTGGCTAAGGGGAAAGAAGTTCCTGTGTATCCCTGGATGGCTTTGATGAGAAGATGCAGCTGGAGCTGTGGAACGAGGTGAGCCAAATATCCTTATCCTTTCATGGTCCTGATGAATCCTGAAGCTGTTACTTGCTCTTGGGTGGACACTTTGGCTGGCAGGGTGGGAAAGGTGTCACCGGAGGACATTTCTGCTGGCACTGCTGAGGTGGGCAGGGCTCTGGACACTTTGGTGGTGGGCAGGGCTCAGGGCACTTTGGGGGTGGACATGGCTCTGGGTACTTTGGCGTGGGGCACACAGGAGGTGGCTGGCAGGGCTGCTTGCACTGCTGCTGTTGGTAAGACATCCTGCTGGAGTCTCAGAATCTGAAAGAAATGATATGACAGTGTTTGTGGGAAGGGACTCCTCCAGAGAGAGAAGCCAAAGCTTGTGTAATACCATGGAATGTAATTTATCCAATCTCTAAGAAATTATTTAAATTCTTAATTCCCTTTTCACGACTTTGTGGTTTCTCGCTTCCGCTTTAACAAATTGCTTCATTGTCCCTGGGAAATCCTGTGTTTTCTCATACAATTTTTCCAAATAAATTATCTGTTATAAAGAATCAAGCATGTTATGTCCCTAAAAACAACCAATTCAAGAAAGGTGGTCACAAGTTCAGACCCCCTGGGCAATCTAATAGGCCATTCCTATCATCATTATCTGTTATAAAGTCCCAGTGGGCTGACTTGGGCATAGAGCAAAGGGCTGCTCAGGGAGAACTGTAATCTCTCACACCTGCTAAGACACAAACGTTTGTAAAGGACACTGGAAAGACAGAGAATAAAGAAAAATCCTTGCTCTTTTTTCTTCTTCATATCAAAGGTTACCCCTTAACTTCTCTGTCCATGTGGATACCTACCTGTATAACAAAAGAAAGCTAAAATAGCATATCATTGTGCTCTAACCCTAAATTTTCATCCACTAAGTAACATCAAGTCAACATTCATAGGATTAGATCCACCAAACGTGCTATATTCAGATTAAACTCAACATTTCAGGGCACAAAGAAGAGAAGAACTCAAGGAAGCAGACTCACCGGGTTCTCCAAGGCAGATCAGTGCTCAGGTACCAGGGGTTTAGGAGTCGTGCAGCAGAAGATCTCTTTATAGAGCCTGCTACCTCACCCAGCAGGAAGTGAAACTACCCAAAACAATGCTGATCCAGCAATTTCTTAAGCCAAATGCAAATTTATCCACGACTGGCATGTGCAGGGTACTCAGAATAGGAAATCTCCTGTGCTGAAATCGCTCCACTGGGTTAAGTGCTCCTGACTCACGGAGGCCCTGCCTTGGATCTCAGTTTCAGTGACTTACGGCAAAGAGGGACTTGGGAGAATCTCTAACTGATGGTCAAGGAATCTCTTTCTTAATTGGGAACAAAGGTCTTTTCCTGTCTTACACCTTCCCTAAATCATAAAACTTCTGCCCTGATTCACTTTATCTGAATGCCATATTGTTGTACATGAACTCAATTATACCTCTACTTTCCTCATGCAATCTGCCAATGTGCTAGAAGGAAGGAGAGACCTAACAAAGGCCTGAGTTCTAGTCCAAGCCTTTTCTTTGCTCTGTTGTATGACCACAGGCAAGTCACCTCTCCTACGTGGAACTGTAAACAGGGAGAATAATACTTACCTCTGGGTTTGCAGGCATTGACCGCGTTGTGCCACCTGATGAATCTGTTTGAGCTTGAAATTTTCTCTTCTACCTCTTTCTTTCTCTCATAAAACTCCAGATTTTACCTATATTAACTTCCTCTTTAAAACTGTCTTCTCCACTCCATTTGTAGAGACATTTGTCCCCCAGGATAGATTCCAAAGTGAGATTGAGTCTCCCCAGCACGTTTTCTACTTGCTGCCCTTAAGGATGTGTACTATAGCCTTTTTATTTACAAAAATGTACTCTTGGACACCACCTTAAGGAAACAGAGACAATGGAACCAAAGTTACAAGCATTCACTCAAAACCTATGTATTGAACCATGCCCATATGGTTCCCTGTGAACACCCTATAGAGAACAAGTTGCATAGATTCACGTTATCATATGTAAATAATTAGAAGTAGGTTTGCAGAGTGCAGAAGTTCAGAGTACTTAAAGTCTGAAATCTAGGGGAAAATAAAAACTAAGTATAATCCAATATGTATTCTTGCTCTCTATTTCCAAACAGGCTTTAGGTGTTTGAAAGACAGTGTTTTGAAATGTGTTTGTATGTTCTTCCTTTGTCTTTTCTATAGACCCTCTAATCCCACAACCTGCTGGATTATCAACTCACACCCCAATGTACACCTCTCATCTGTCCATTTTGGCACATATTGTTCACTTAACACATATGTTGTCAACGCATTTAGTGATTGTTCTTTCATATCTTTTTTAAACTCTTCTTGCAATCAGTAAAGCTTTCTAAATATTGTATGTTAAGCATTTAAAGTGATATTTCTAGAGCTTCCTTATCTAGACCATTAATCAGGAAGCTTCCCAAGGACGTGGTTTTGCAAGTAGATGATAAGAGAGGGGAACGAGGAAGAGGAAAGACTCAGAATTATTAGAGCAGTCACCAGCTATGCTCCAGGAAGAACAAGTGTTGAATCAACCCAGTATCACATCCCTCAGTTAAGCAGGTTAGGTACCCAGAACTGCTATTTCTCCTGTCAGTAAGGAAGGGCTTTTGGCTAAGATCACCACTGGCCAGGACACTACAGAAATAGAGCCATCACGTCAGAACCTTGAGGCCAAATATTTACAAATAGTGTTCTCGCCCAATGCTTCCTATAGACTATTACACGTGCCAAATACTTCACTGGGCAAAGTAAAGGGTCTTTACTCAGTAGGTCCCCTACTACTCCCCAATAGCCTGACATCACATCTAAAACACAAATCCTTAAAGAAATATCTGATTTCCGCCATGCAAAATTGAAGAATTCGCTGCCAAATGAGATCACTGTGTGAGATAACACAGTTTGAGTCACACCCTGAGACTCCTGTTCTGAGAACACTCCACTCAAACAGCAGGCTCATCACACCAGTGCAGGCACTAGAGTGGCAGCAGCCCTAGTGCCCTCAGCATCTCAGACAGGCTCACTTTATAAGTTAAGGTGATGAACTTGAAACTCAGAGTTCCACACAGACCAGCCACATGAGGAATGGCCGCAATATGAAGAGGGACAGCTGATAGTCACAGCTTCCCCAAGTTAGGACATCCAGGCCCTGAGACATGGAGCGAAGCATACTTCACACACACACACACACACACACACACACACACACACACACTCCATGGGTCTTTATTTATCTATCATCTACCTTCATGTCTAAAGAGCTTAGCTTTATGTTTCTTAAGAGTCTGATAGCCTTAGGTTCATTCCTATTATTCCTACTTCCTAATTTTCTCAGGGATCATTAAGTATGAATTATTAGTTCATAAAAATGACAAGAAAGAATAAAAACTTTTATTTGGTCTAATATTTGATTCAACATTTTATCTCACATCTTACTACGACACATTCTACTATACAAAATAGTGCTGGCAAATGAAGATATAAAACAAAATATGAAAAAACTAAAGAAACAGGAATTGTAGTAAAATATTCTTGATATCTTAAGAGAAATAGTAACTGCGAGTCCCCATGCATATCTGCCTTCTGCTTTTATTTCTGAATAGAAGGCTTAGTCTGCATTGCCCTTCCATAATTCAATAAATCAGATAAACATATGGTAGAATTCTGAAAGTAATTAGGAAAGACGTTTTGGGAGATTATGTAATATTATTTAAAACATTCAAATTATACCAAAAATGTATGTAAATCATGATAACATTTTCATTAACATATTTATTAAAAGATAGGAAGCATGAAACAACATATTAAATGTGATTATATTTGGCTGGTGTAATTACAGATGATGTTTACGTTCTTATTTAACTTTTCAAAGTATGCTTCAAATGTTACCTATTATTGAGTAGAGAATCTTAAAATTCTACTTTGAGAAGCTAAAAATAGACAAGCCTGTCCATTGCCCAATTAGAGAGAGAGAGTTTTTTCGTTTTGTTTTGTTTTCATTTGTTTGTTTGTTTTCAGCACTGTTGGCTAGACACAAAAGGTGGGGCAGGATGTAAGTGCAGTTGTTTTATTGTTATAGCTCTACATTTGATCACATCCCTTCTAAAATCTCTCTTGAAGAAAACCCCAATAATAATACCCCTTCCTCATAGTATTGACATATACACACAGATGTTTACAAATGGTGTTTTCTCCAAATGCGAAAATTGTAGTAACCACAGACACCCAATAGCTGTATGTATCTGTGAAATCATTCACCAAAATTGGGAGATTGTTCTAGAGTAACAAAATCAGGAATGATAGTAACAAAATCTACTATCCAAGAGCCAGGTGGATAAAAAGCATAAATTGGCCATGATATGATGAAATTGGAAGAAACGGATGATTAGCAGGACAGGTAGTAAGGATAATAGAACATGGTGATAGTAATGGTAACTACCACTAAATTGTCATGAGAAAACAATTAAATCAGAGACTGCATATAAATACTTAGTACATGCTACAGACAGTGCTCAAAATGCTAAAGTAACACATTGTTAATGAAAGAGATAGAAGCAAAATATCAATTTTAAGTTGTGTATGGTTAAGAAAGGTATTTGCTTTCTCTTTAAGATATTTTATGTCATCCTTATTTTAAGTGTGTGCCAGAAGTTTTTAGGACAAAGCAAATGCAAATATATAATTTGAATGAAGTGGGCAAAAATAATAAGATGGGCTGATCCTGACATTTATTCTTATGTGATAAAAATGAGAGTTAATCTAAGCAGAAATTTAGATCAGTTCCTAGTTGTTTGGACTCTCTGAGACTTTCCTCTGAATTAAGTTAATACAAGCAAATAAATCTAAATATAATAATTAGCAATATGTGGATGTATTCATTTGTAAAATATTAACATATATAGATATTTAGCATTCTGTGTGAAAATATATTTAATGTTACCTCCAATTTAGTTTACTGCTATGTGGTTAACTCTTTAGGACATTTAAAAAACACTCATTCAAATATCACATTCCTTCTGGTAGCAAATTACTTAAATTTTAGGCTAAACCCTTATAAGAAACTGAATAGCTCATTAGCACTAACCTTCCCAAAGTGAATAGACCTTATAAATTCTACTTTTATTTTCTCTATATGTTAGATCAGAATATTTAAGAGCATAATTTCAAGAGCTGTTAGTAATGTAAACAGCTTGCTTAGTGTTAATGAGATTAAGAAGGACATATGCTAAATGATAGCATGAATCAGAATCTTCTCCTTGTAAGAATCTTTTCAAGATAGTGAATGTGCACAGGCTGTGGTTTCCTTCCAAAAAAAGTCAAAAAGGAAAACATGGAAACACGAACAAAATTGTGAAAATTTTTGAAGAGAAAAAAACTGTTTTAAATCTAACACAGGGGAGAGCTGAAATTCTACTGTAAGTTATAAATATATGAAATAAAACATAAACATTATTACAACAATCAAAACTAACAGTCTCACAGAAATAAACACAATTTTACAATACGATCCAGCAAATTT